TTCATCTGGCTGGTTAGTAAACACGAGCAGTATGTGTACCCTTGGGCTTTCATAGGACGCTGGATTTTAATTAAAATGCGTAGACAAATGGTTCTGCCGCGTGGATTTATTTCAGGAGCTGGCTCTCACGTTGGGTCCTGGGTTCCGTGGGACAAGCTAAGTGTCTCTCCTGGTGGAGCCTCCCTCCATGCTCTGCTGCCACCCTCGGGCTGCGATCTGTCCTGCATGTTGGGTCACCCGGTGTCGCTGGTCACTGGCACCTTTCTGCTTGTGAAGCGGCATCCAATGTGCCGTGTGGCATACCTCATGTGGTCCTGAGGATTCCAACTCCTCCCCTCCCCCAAATTACTGGACTCACCGTGAGTCTATTGGTCTCACCAAGCCAAGGGCTTACAAGTTCCTGCAGCAGCCAGTTGGCCAGCTGAGTCCACTCCGGGGCACAGAAGCCCCGTCGGTTTTCCAGTGGGCTTGTCCCACAAGTGGCTGGACAGACCTTTCTTCTGAATCACTTCTGGGTGTGTTTGAATTGTCAACCTTTCACTTAGTAGCACAGTGCTTAACTGTTACACACACAACACTTCCCAAGCCCCTTCGACTTGTCCAGTCATGTGCTGAAGAACTGGGCCTTGGGTTCCACCAGCCTGACTTCTGACCCCAGCGTGACCACATGCTATGGGTGACTACAGACCGCATGGAGCCCCGAGGACCTCACCTGTAGAATGGAGATGATGCACAGGCCACTGGGGATTCAACAGCCAGCCGGCATCGCCTAGCCAGGGGAGCATGCCTGAAAAGCCTGCTTGCCTGACCCCCTTACCCTGAGTTAGAAGGCCTGTCTTCTCTGAATTCTGAGGTGTTAGGCACACGGCAGAATGGGGAGCACCTCTTCCCATCTCTTTAATTGAGAGTTTGTGCAGGGCGCTGGGCAGCTGTGTGATGAGTTTAAATCACTGCTTCCTCCCATCCGCGAAGCACCTAATTCAATCCCATATAAAAACAGACCCGAAAACACCCCAGGCCCAGTGTATTCTCCTCGGGCCCTCGTCCCATTCTGGGCTGAGATCTGAGCCGCCGCCCGGCCTTTCATGCTCAGGGAGGGCCTCCCACCCCTATCCCCCCCACCCCCACCCCCGGCAATCCGTGGGCAGAGGGCCCTACACTGTCACAGCCCCTTCTGTTTCACCGCCTGGCCCTGCGCTGGCCTCACAATTGTTACATTTGAGCCGGTGGTTACTTTGTTGCGTTTGACGCCTATCCTGGTGTCTAAGCGGGCGGGAGATGGAAATGTGTCTGTTCTTCCCACTCCGTTCCCACCTCCCTCCTGTTAATAATAGGACCCCACTTCCCTTTTGGAAGGAGCCCTGCTAGCGTCATGGTCACACTTGGGACTGCAAACTATAAGGTCAGCGGTTCAAAGCCACCAGCTGCTCTATGGGAGAAAGACGGGTCTCGCTTACAGTCTCAGAAACACACGGGGCAATTCTCCCCTGTCTTACCGGGCTTGCTATGAGTCTGAATTGACTGGTGAATTTGGTTTGGGTTTTCCCTTTTCAATCAAGGTCCGCATGCTATCTTGACTACCGTGATCCCAGCTGGGCCCGTTGGTTCTCGTCCCAGAGCTTCGCGTCTGGGGCACTGATACTGCATGGTGTCTTCTCCCTTCGCCCCTCCTAACAGAACCTGACTTAGATTCGGGCAGCAACACGCCCAGCCCGGGCAGGGAGGGCAAGCCCAACTGGTCTGCGTCTTTTGTGCCCTTCTGCCAATGATTCGCTCTCCCAGCTTCCTCGCAGCAAGGTGTGGCCATTGACCCATTTCTGACCAATGAGTGATAGGGGGAAGACTGATGGGGGCGCTTATTGAATAAAAGGAAAGTCCCCTTCTATAGTTCTTGGGGTAGCGACGATAGAGAGGACCAGGGACCTGCTGGCTGGAACTGCAGCGGCCCTCCTGAGACTGGAGCAGTCAGGGGCCCTGGCACGCTTCACCTCCAGCGCAAGGCTGGAAGCCCTTGTCTCCAGATCATTCACTCGGTGAGATACTGACATGCAGGGTCTCTGCTTCCTGTGGCGGCACCATCCTGCTCTCCGAGGAAGGGACTGTGGAGAGAGAACGGGACAACTCGGCCCCGGCCACCTCCTCCACCAGTGCCCAGGGCCCATCCTTGTTCCTGCCTCTGCCCCTCTCCTCCCTGCGGGCCACCAGCTTCTCCCTAATGACTTTGGATACAGCAGCCCTGTTGCTTCTGATGGCCTGCGTGTGCCTTTGTTGCTCAGCCTGGGAAAACAAAACCAACAACAAAACCGGAATAGATGCAGATGGTGTAAAAATGCTCCTGAGAACTTTCTGATTACTTAAACGTCAAGATGAGGGCCACCCATTCGGGGGACGAGTCTTGGTTAAGCACAGGCATGTGTGGCTTCTGGATTGAAACATCAGGAAGGGAGCCCCTCAGAGAAGGGAGAAGAGAAGAAAGGGGCTGTTTCAATGAAAAGCAAACTCAAATCTGTCAGGGGACCAGCCCCTAGCAAATCATCGCAGGCCCAGCAGGCACAATTGTACAGCGATGATAAGGAGAGATGATAGTAAAGTCATAGAGAATCAGAGAGATAGAAGAGAGAGTGGAATAAAGGAGTCAGACACATCTCATGGTAGCATGCTCACTTCAGCCCCGCTTGGTGGTCCA